TCGTTTTTTATTGACTTGGCATTCATTGTTTGATCCAATTATAGCTATAAAAACAACTTTTCTGAAAATTTTTTTAACTCTACTAGAGACAACACAAACACTTCCAAGAAGTGTTTGCTGAATTTATTTCTTGGATGAAATACATGAATGAAATGATATCACAGTAGCCACAGAGTGATAGCTAAGCCTCTCAACTGTTGTAAGTGGAAACAGTTAAGACTATCCAGTTATAGAATAATCCTGAGAACTGTCCTCCCTCTAAGTAGACAGCACAGACTCCCCAGGCCAGGGGCTGGGGAACTTCTGTAAAGATTCAGGTGGTAAATACTTAAGGCTCTGGGTGCCTTGCGCGCTGTCACAGCTATTCAACTCTGCCGTTGTAGTGGAAACTAGCCATAGGCAGACAAAACTCCTGGACCAGATGGCTTCAAAGTTATGTTTTATCAAACATTCAAAGAAGAATTAACACTGATCCTTCTCAAACTATTCCACAAATTTTAAGAGAAGGAAAGACTCTGAAGCTCATTTTAAGAGGCCAGCATTATCCTGGTTCCAAAACCAGAGAAAGACATTACAAAGAAAGGAAACTGTAGGCTAATCTCCCTGATGCACATAGATGCAAAAATCTTCAACAAAATACCAGCAATACGTTAAAAAGATCATACATCACGATCAAGTGGGATTTTTTTCTTGGGATGCAAGGTTGGTTTAATATCTGCAAATCAATTAATGTGATACACCACGTAAACGAAGGATAAAAAAATCATGATCATATCAATAGATGCAGAAAAAGCATTTGACAAAATCTAGCACCCATTTATAATAAAAACTCTCAGCAAAGTAGGAATAGAGGGGACATACCTCAACATAATGAAAATCATACAGTATATGACAAACTCAGAGCTAACATCATACTCAGCGGGGGCAACACTAAGTGTTTTCCTTAAGATCAGGAACAAGACAGGGATGTCTACTTTCACCACTCCTATTCAACAGAGTACTGGAAGTCCTGGCCATGGCCACTGGACAAGAAGAAATAAAAGGATTCCAAATTGTAAAGGAAGAAGTAAAACTGTCATCATTTGCAGATAATATGATACTATCTGTAGATAACCCTAAAGATTCCACCAAAAAACTACTAGAACTCATAAATTCAGTAAAGTGCAGGACACAAAGTTAATATTCAGGAATTGGTTGCATTTTATACACCAATAATGAACTATCAGAAAGAGAAACTAAGAAAAACAATCACATGCACAACTGCATTAAAAAAAACAAAAACAAAACACACCATAAAACACCCAGGAATAAATGTAACCAAGGATGCAAAAGGCCTGTACTTGGAAATTATGAGATACTAAAGAAAGAAATAGAAGCAAGGCACAAATAAATGGAAGCATATACTGTGCTCATGGATAGAAAGAATTAACATCATTAAAATGTCCAAACTATTCAAAGCAATCTATAAATTCAATGCAAACCCTATCAAAACACGAATGGCATTTTTTACAAAACTAGAACACATAATCCAAATATTTATATAGAACCACAAAAGACCCCAAATAGCCACAGCAACCTTGAGAAAGAAGAACAAAGTTGATGGTAACACACTACTTAATATCATAGAAACAGACACACAGACCATCCGGCTGGTATGGCTCAGCTCGTGCACCAAAGGGTCTCAGGCTCGTTCCCAGTCAGGGAGCCCATGAAAGGCAGCTGATCGATGTCTCTCTCTCTCTCTCTCTCTTTCTCTCTCCCTTCCTCTCTCACTAAAGTCAATAAAAACATTTTTTAAAAAGAGAGAGAAAGAAAATGGTTTTCAAATCAGGGTTCCCGTGATCCAGGTCACCACTGAAGTTCATGGGAGGCATTTATTATACTTACATTACTGTACTCCTCAAATATTCTAAAATTCATAAAGAAATGATCATGAATCCTTATTTTTAAAAAAGCTCCCAGATATGAGGCTCTCAGGGATCTAGCATTTAGAAGCCATTTCCATTAAATTCTTAAATGGTAATTAATGAACACTACTTTAAATGACTAATTTAAAGACACTTCGGGCATGTTATATGCTTAAAGGTCACTCCCACAAGTACACATTGTACTGTCTTTAGATTTGTCTTGGATACAGATGTTAATAGAAGTGAGGGCTACAAGCTCCAACAGGTGGGCCAGCCAGCCTTATAAGTAAGGAACCTAGTGCCCTCTGGTGTTCTGTTTCTGTATTGACTGCCTCGGGTGCAGAACAAGAAAAGCGACAAGTTAAACTTGCAACTTCACTCTTCATGTTAAATAAACTCTCATATCCAAACCATAAGTACTGCAGTGACTACGAATTTCCTAAGGGGAAATTAGATAACTGGTATCCCAAACCTCTATCTATAAAGGATATATATATATATATATATATATATATATATATATATATATGTAATTTCAGAGAGGAAAGGGGAGGGAGAGAGAGATAGAAACATCAATGATGAGAGAGAATCTTGGATCAGCTGCCTCCTGGGGACCCTACTGGGGACCGAGCCCGCAAGCCAGTCATGTGCCCTAACCGGGAAATTGAACTGTGACCCAGTTCACAGGTAAACGCTCAACCACTTAGCAAAGCCAGTGGTTGCTCCATGATGTTTTTTAAAAAATGTCTCAACTGGCAGCAAATGCTTTCCTGGATATTGAATCTCTTTTTAAAAAAATATTTTTTTATTGATTTCAGAGTGGAAGGGAGAGGGAGAGATAGAAACATCAATGATGAGAAAGAACTATCAATCAGCTGCCTCCTGCACGCCCCCTACTGGGGATCGAGAGCAGCCCGGCATGTGCCCTTGGTCGGAATCAAACCCGGGACGCTTCAGTCTGCAGGCCGTGGCTCTATTCACTGAGCCAACACAGCTGGGGCTGAACCTCTTTTATTTTATTATTATTATTTTTTAATGTTACAGCAAAGTATTCTGATTTCTCTCTCTTTGAGCAACCCCAGCGGCCCTACTTAAAAGAGGCTGAAAAAGAGTTTAACCTTATAACCCCTTTTATAAACAGCTGGAAGAAAATGGTCAGTTTCCAGCTTGTGGTATTTTATTTCTGATGAGGTCATGCAGCACAGAGAAAACAGAGCACAGCCGGGAACAGGGAGCCTGGGATCTGGTTTCATTGCGCCTCTGGAGTCACCGAACACCCTTTCCTTGGCTGCTGGGCTTGTCTCCTCGCCGTGCAGCGGACTCGGCAGCGATCACATTATTGACACTTTACAGTCCTGCTCTCCCAAAGGAAAAACGCATGTAAAGGAAACACCACACCTTTGGCAATAGGAAGGGAGCAACAGCAAGACCCACAAGTGACCAGTGCCAAGCCAGAGGCCCTTCCGGGCTTCACACCCTTGCTGCCTGAATGTCAACGCTCACCGTACTCCCGGGCCCGCAGGGCCTTTTCCTTAAAAAAAGTTTTTCTCTCCCATTAATTCAACTTCACGGGCACATCCTTCCATGGAGACCACGAGGTGGTCCTAACCTGGAGCCGGGCGTCCCATCGCAGCCCGAGCCCCGCGGAGCTGCTGAGCACCTGGAAGGTGCCCGTGAGACTGAGCCGAGCTGCAGGCGTAAGACAGCCAGAATCTGAAGCCTCAGGACCAACAGACTGTAAGGCATCTCAGCAATGGGTACACTCACCGCACGCTGGAGCCGTGTTTTGGAGAAGCTGAGTTAAATGAAACGTATAAACAAACTGACACTCGTGTCACCTGCTTCCTCTGCACTGGCTAACGCGGCTCCCAGCATGTTAATTACTCGCGTATGTGGCTCATTACACGTGCACTGGACGGTTCGGCGCCAGCTTATCACCGGGACGCAGGCAGGGACTGAGGCTCAAACTCTCGGAAAGCCCTGTTCCCGTGCTCTCCCCGCGACGCGACCCCACTTACTGCTCGGCGGCCTCGCCATACGGGTTTCCCCGGCCTCCCGCGGGTGCAGCCGAGCGGAGCCGGACACGTGGGCGCGGCCCAGAGCTCCCCTCGGCGGCGGCCGAGGTCCCAGCCCCAGGGGAGGCGGAGTCCCGGCCTGCGGTCCGGCCGGCCGCTGCGGGAGGAAGTCCCGGTGTCGGGAGGAGGGAGCAGCGAGAGGCCGGCTCACAGCAGCCGGTCCGGGCTCCCCGCCCCGGCACCGCACGGACCGCTACGCCGCTTCCTGTGGGGGCGGGGGCAGGGCCAGCGCCGGCGGGCGGAGGGCCAGCCCAGCCCGCCTGGGGTTAGCGCGCTCGCTCCCGGGAGGATCCCAGCCCGCCCTCGGGTCCTCTGAGGGTTAGAAATTTGAAAGTATTCACATCAGGTGATTTGCGGTCCCAAGAACAAGCCGGGGACTAGACTCTAAATAGGATCTTGGCCACCTTCTACTTAAACCGCCGCCCACCCCACTTCAGTCTCGGCGGAATGAGATGTTAACACTTAATCCTTCCCTTGACCCGAGAGATACTACTAATTCCACCGGCACCAAAGTGCATAGCATTTCGGATTCACTTGATTTTCTTATTCAGCATTTGCAGAGCAAAATTTATATGGATTTCATGTTTAACTACAAAGATTACGGACAGGGCATAAAATATAGTTGCGGTAAACAAATCTTAACCCTAAGAAATTGCCCAAAGATATGCACAAGCCACTAGTTACACACAATATTTAGGTGATGGTTGCTGAATAAATGCCTGTTACATAAAGCTCATGTCTGTCCAACTTTTAACAAGACTAAATGACTTGTTTCTTTGTCCTGCTCTCACAGTGCAGAGAAGGTACAAATGGGCATTAGATATTGTCTAAATAATTGTAACCCCAATACCACACCTCTGCCAAGTCAGAGTTCGTTTAGCACTGTAACTACAGGCATATCTCAGAGATATTGGGGGTCCGGTTCCAGACCACAGCAATAAACGGAATATCGCAATCAAGTGATGATATCAATATTTTGGGGTTCCCAGTGCATATGAAAGTCATGCTTACACCATGATACAGGGCAGAATCAGTAAATTGTTTATTCCAATGAAGCACTCCATACAAAAGCAATCATGATGTGCAAGGATTTTAATTACTCCTATTTGAAGGTTCTTATTTTTGGACAACAGCAAGGCATTTTATTATCCACTCTTTCCACTCCTTAAAGGCTTCCACAGGTTTGGGCAAATTCACATTACCGTCATGACTATGTTTCGGAGTAACTCGGGGCGTGCCAGCAGATTCATCATCAATCCACCTCACCAGGGCCTTGAAAAGAAGAGAGATTAATATTTTAACAAAGCACAGCAAACAGTTTTAGGCAAGAGAAAAACACTGGCTTCTAAATCAGATTCTCTAAATCAGTGACTTAGATTACCCATGAAGATGTTCCATTTGATAAAGATGGTCATGAATATGAAAAGAACACTTATGCTAACATACTGAGTGAACAAATATACACCCAAAGTATGCTAACTATGATTATAAATTGTAGTCACATATGCATAGGAGAAAAAATGAAAATACACTAATCCTACAGTTTTTTAGGGTGGGAGAATATTGTTTTCTCAACTTGCTAAATGTCCCACAAGGCATTAAACTATGCTTTTGATTTGATGTGAATGCATACACATAGGTTAAGGGTAGACATATGAAGGTACATGTAGACATGTAATGCAGTTACCTGCATGGGGAGTTGTACCATGAGTACTGCTGAGGACACACATACCTTCACACATACTGAGATTATGTACTTTCCCTCTTCCTTCTTAAAATCATCTTTTCCTCGTAATGACTATACCTCTGTCCCATATTTGGTAAGGTGGATCACCTCAACATTTTTATAGTTTTTAAAAAGGAACTTTGCACACGCATCAACATTTATTCTGTTCTAAAGATTCAGGCTCTCTTGTCATAAATGAATGGCAAATGCGGAAACCTCTTCCACCACTGCTCATGAACTACAAGTGTAAGGCACTCAGAGGCAAGTCAAGTTTTTAAGGACGTTTCTCTCTCTCTTTTTTTTTAACCACAGCTTCCTGCTTATCTCTGCACTAATTTCCTCTGATAAATGACAGCTCCAGAGAAGCCTAATATAAAATCGTAGTTTGCTATTTATATAACCACTTCTCCCTTCTGAGGACCCCACCCCAATTTACTTGGTATCTTTCTACAATGTTGAAGCCAATAGCACATTGCAACTTGCGTAAACAGATGGGACACAGATCTAGGGGGCGCCGGTCAGCTTCTTCCAAGTGGTTGGAGCCTTGCATTAGGCATGCCAGCCACTGGCAGTGTCGAAGTCCAAATATGTGTCCAATCTCGTGGGTTAAAGTCTGCAAGACATTCACATTGAGGCTTTATAGAGCCACCATCATTAACAATAAGCTACACACCCCTGCTTTTTCCTTACTTTTCTAAGAAACAGATTTGTAGGAATCAATTTCCTTACCATCATCCCCAAACTTCAATCTGCCCAAAGACTTAACCCCTCATCTCCTTAAATGTCTTCCTGCTTTCTTCACTACACTTAACCACTTAATTACCGGACCAGGGTTTCTCAATTTCGACACCACTGATACTTTGGGTGGGAAGATTCTTTGGGGGAAGGAAGCTATCCTGTGCTCTGAAGGATGCTTAGCAGCACCCCTGGACTCTCCCTACTAGATGCCAGTAGCACCCACTCCCCAACTGTGACAACCAGAAATATCCCCCCACATGGCCAAATGATCGATGGGTGGTGAGACTACTGCTGGTTGAGAGCCTGTGTTACCATTTACAGCCCGGGGCCCTTCCCCCAGAGATGCTGTGTCGGTGGGTCTGGGAGGAGGGGCTTGACCTGGATGTTAACAAACACACGAGGTGAAGCGGATGCAGGGAATGTTCACTGAAAACATTGCTCTATGAGGTGATGTTGTCAAACCCCACAGATAGTGCTGGGAAAAGCAGAAAAGCCTATGTCCCCGGCTATCAACAATGAGGAGATAGGCTTTCCAAGAGCAGTGGCGGGGGAGACGTCAGGAACTGTCAGTAGGACCAAGGCAGGAGAAGGGAGCCTGGAGACCAAGAGGAAGGCCTTTCTCCTTAACCCTCCAGGCCCCAGGAAGGCAGCTTTCCTTGATGGCCAGCAGCAGCCTGAAAGGGTGGGGCTATCTACTCCTACAGAATTCCGGAATTAAACTAATGGTGAGGATGTGGCCACAGCCAAGGCTGCGTATAACGAACAGGACAAAAAACGGGCACAGGTACTGTACATTTCAATAATAAGGTATCCATTATTTCAGTCAAGCAATAGCCACCAAAAATAGACAAGTGATACAAGCTCATTGATAATATTACCTTAAGGAGTGTGGATGTGCAGTGGAGGGAATTAAGGCCTCTTTACTAATAATCCTGTTAGATTTTGTAAACAACTCACCTTGCAGGACCGAAGCAGCAGAACACTGGTCACTTCAGGAGTGTAATAGTTATCAAACGCCGAATAGTCACGCAAAGATTGTCTCTGCGACGCCTTCACTTTGCCTTTGTAGCTTGAGCTGTAAAAGTCACCGCCATACCTGGCGAAGCTGAATATCCCCACACCTACGGAAAGAGGACAAGCGACAGCAGAATGACAGGCAGATTCCTGAAGGGCGTCTGGCCAGGGAGTGCGTGTCTGACTCCTGCCTTCACAGAGCCCAATATGCTTCAGGCCTGCCAAGACAAAGCAGGACTTTGACCCAGATTTCCCTCTCGAAACTTTCTTCTACTATCCCATGTGTCCTGCCTTGTAAAGCTCAATTGTCTTTTGTCAAATTCTTGACAAACTGGAAATTATGGGGGGTTTGGTTTTCCCACAAAAGCAGTCCTCTCCTCAAAGAATAGTCCAAATCAGGTACTCCAGAAAGAGCAATGAAAATGATCACACAAACAACACACGCTCATGACTTCTCTCTCTAAGAACACGATAAAAAGCCCAGCCAGCATGGCTCAGTGGTTGAGCGTCAACCTATGAACCAGGAGGTAAGGTTCGATTCCCAGTCAGGGCACATGCCCAGGTTGCAGGCTCGATCCCCAGTGTGGGGCATGCAAGGAGGCAGCTGATCAATGGCTCTCTCATCATTGATGTTCCTATCTCTCTCTCTCTCTCCCCCTTCCTCTCTGAAATCAATAAAAAAATATTTTTTAAAACCCCACAATGAACAGATCTCCATGACCTATGTGTCAGTGAGGGGGCCTTTCCTTCCCTCATGCCATGCCCCTGAGGCCGTGGAGACCACGCCCGCACCCTTAGACAAAAGACAGAACCTCTTCCCCTCTTCCCCCTTCTTAGGCACAGCACAACTCTGTTATGTGGCTGGAGTCAGGGGACCAGAATAAACCTTCTTGTAACTGACTTCCTGTGTTAGGTCTTAGGCTTGTCTAAACCATCTTCACACACGTGGAGGACAGAGTATGATTTTCAACTCATTCTAATGAGGATTGCCTTATAATCTGACTTGTTTACATTACCACTTAGTTATGCTTTTCAGTTCTTATTTGAAAGTCATAAGAAGCCTTTTTGTTATGGAAATGATTTCATAGTAAGTTTGTCCAATCCAACTTGATTCAGAAAGAATCTTCCTCGGAAAGTGTCCACTGGTATTTGAAATTTAGGGAGAAGGAAACATTCTGGAAGTTAAGAAGGAAACTGAATCTACTCATGTGTCACAAGTAACCTCCTCTGGCCAAAAAGTGTGGGCGTATTTTACCACAATACCTTTGGTAAGAGCATTTCGGGGGCATGCGTCCTAATGACTCTACAAATAGAATGTTTTCTTTATAACTAAACATTTCTCAATTTAAAAGCACAAATCTTTGTAAACCTGGAGAGAATAAAGTCACTTGTAAGATACTGTCTCACTGCCTGGCAGATCAGTGCTGCTGGCTTACTACTATTTCTTTTTTTTTTTTTTAAAGATACTTTTATTGATTTTCAGAGAGAAAGGGAGAGGGGGAGAGAGAGAGAAACATCAATGATGAGAGAATCGTTGATTGGCTGCGTCCTGCAGGCCCCACACTGGGGATTGAGCCAGCAACCCAGACATGTGCCCTTGACTGGAATCGAACCCTGGACCATTCAGTCCGCAGGCCGACGCTCTAGCCTAGCCGTGGGCAAACTACAGCCCGCGGGCCGGATCCAGCCTGTTTGAAATGAGTAAAACTAAAAAAAAAAAAAAGACCGTACCCTTTTATGTAATGATGTTTACTTTGAATTTATATTAGTTCACACAAACACTCCATCCATGCTTTTGTTCCGGCCCTCCGGTCCAGTTTAAGAACCCATTGCGGCCCTCGAGTCAAAAAGTTTGCCCACCCCTACTCTAGCCACTGAGCCAAGCCGGTTAGGGCTTGCTACTATTTCTTTTATGTGATGCAGTATTTACGAAACTTAAAAAAATTAAAGTAGAAACATTTTGGAGGAATGCTTCCTGACCTCCTCAACTGTACAAGATAAATTAGCCAGCAATCTATAATAATAAAAGCGCAATAGCTAATTAGACCGGACAGCCAAACGACCTTCCAGGTGAAGCCGGGTGCCACAGCTGTGAGGGCCAAGCCCCTTGCACGAATTTTATGCATCAGGCCTCTAGTATCTACATAAATAGTTTTAATTTTAAAACTTTTTCCATTTCTACCAGGTTAAAAATAAAAGGAGAGAAAAAAATTTAGCTCATACAAGTTCATTTTTGATAGAAAGGCAGCGCAACTCAGGAACACAGCAGTGACCCAAGTCTCCAAAAGAGTGTATTTGTAGGGTCATGGGGAGAGTGGGGGCCATAAGATACTGGAGAATTAAGGATGAAGGGGTAGTGTCCTGGGCCTGTACTCTGATGAATTCGGGTAAGAGAAGGAGACGCTAATAGAAACCTTTGTCAGAGGGAGGCTAATATGTGATCTAGACAGTCCATACACTTAGTATCATGAAGTACAGTCCTGGTACTTGCCCATCATCCCCAAAACACTAATGAACAACCACTCCCCTTAGTTCTCTGGGCCTTTCCCCTTCAAACGGGTCTCTGAGCCTGGGGATAAGGGTAGAGAAATAAGAGCAAAAATGGACAAGAGGGCCTGGCTGGGTGGCTCAGTTGGTTGGAGTGTTGTCCCAAACACCACCAAGAGGTTTTGGGTTCAATTCCCAGTCAGGGCACATTCCTAGGTTACAGATTCAATCCCCAGTCGGGGTACATACAGGAGGCAACTGATCAATGTTTTTCTTTCTCTTTCCTTTCTTTCCTTCCTTCCTTCCTTCCTTCCTTCCTTCCTTCCTTCCTTCCTTCCTTCCTTTCCTTCCTTTCCTTCCTTCCTTTCTTCCTTTCCCTTTCCCTTTCCCTTTCCTTCCTTCCTTCCTTCCCTCTTTCCCTCCCTCCCTCCCTCCCTCCCTCCCTCCCTCCCTCCCTCCCCCCCTCCCTCCCTCCCTCCCTCCCTTCCTTCCTTCCTTTCTTTCTTTTCTCCTTCTCCCTCTCTCTCCCTTCTTCTCTCTAAAATCAATAAACATATCCTCAAGTGAAGATTTTTTTAAAAAAGGATGCATAGAAGAAGTGAAGACAAAAAAAATAGGCAAAAATTATGATTTTCTTCTGGATCCTTTCCCACCCCCAACACTGCCATGCAGGGTTTCTAATGAGTCAAAGTTTACTGTATCTCCAATAACAGACTGAAGCTTACTTTTAAAAATAAAATAACAAATTATTTTCTTTTAAAATAAAATCACACACAGGACAAGCACACACTTATAAAGCAATGTGTGGCTCTTCCATCTATGCAAAATGACCACAAAAAGTTAAAAAAAACAATTAAGCAAGATTTTCACTTAAGTTAATGAGAGTTCAAATATCCTTCATCAAAATTATAATGGAATTGTTTTCCCTTTTTCAGCATCTACCAATAGTCTCAAGTTCAGAAAGTTTCTACAAACAATGCCAAAAAGGAATACCATCTGTCAAAGAGGCCTGTCCAAAGACGAAATTCCAGGAGTCTCTTGGGTAAAGATCAATCATCGTTACTCCCACAATGCAGAAAGCATCTTCAGGTTTCTTCTTTTTCAAGAAGTGCAGGATGTGCCCTATTCACAAAGATATGTACGTGTGTTATCTTTATATATCTCCACTTTCTGGACTCAATTAAAATTGTGAAGTTGTTTCACTCACCTGCATGTATCTGTAGGTTCTTCGTGCTATCATTGACTCTAAAGGCACACCCTGTTGCAGAGACAGGGACTGGTTCTAGGAGTTTCACTGTCAAGCCATAGAAAAATGCTTCACAGTAGCCCTTGAGCCATTTAACATATTCTTCGCTGATAATTCTGGTATTTCCTAGAGATCCTATAATATGGAAGAAAATTTAGAGACAGACGTTAGGATGATTAAAATACTCAGTCTTTACCTCGGTCTATAACTATGGATTGGAATTAGAAACAAATGAAATCTAAATTCTCAAAACACCTTTACCATTCAATAACACGAATCTGATTTAGAAACAAAATATCTTCTTTTAAGGCAGTCTGGCTAAAAACTTCCACTATGGAATGAGATCAACAGCCCAAACTATACCAGGCAACGGCACCACAGCACAACCACACCAAATGCAGCAAAGGACAGTAGATACCAATGCACTGTATATAAATCCTGTGTTTCTCTCGAGAGGGTGTCTTTCTGGAAGGATCATTGAAAAACTCTTCAAAGTCTTGGGGAGGCTCAGGATGGGAGGTGATCCAATCTGACTGCGAATGCAAGGTGATGGGCCCGAAGAGATCACTGGCTGGTCGGAAGGCTTCGTTCATCAAACGCCGCTCTGCAGCATCGAGCTTCTCATACTGGGACACAAGTGCTGGGTTCTTTGAGATGAGAGCTGTTCTAAGTGTCTGTTCCGAGTGCCGTACCGTTTTCATCTACCAAGAAGACCGAGCTAGTCAAACATAAAATGTATATCCACGCCGGAGACTTCAATCTACCTGTCCTCCACAGACGTCTCTAAATTCTCCCAAAATGGAATGTCTACCGTATTTTTCCGTGTATAAGACCCTTTTTTTTTCTAAAATCGTTAGACTGAAAATCAAGGAATGTCTTATACACAGAAGTCAGCCAAGGAGGGAGCCGTGCAGGTGTGTAGCTGCCCATACCTTGTCAAACAGGCTTCCTCCAATCACGAGCCTTATTGTTACTGATGTCAGCTGATGCCGTAATTGGAGGTGGAGGTGGAGAGTGCAAAGATGCAACAGGGACCGGAGCGTTCTGAGCCCATAAAGATGTAAAAAAATAAAAAGATAAATGCCAGTGATTGTCTTATTCTGCAAAATTCAGACTGAATGTCATCAGCTAAGCAAAAGAGCATGGAACAGAGCTGCAGAGAGACAATCTGGACCTCCTCCCACTGAATGTGTGATCAGACAGTGGAGAAAACAGGAAGAACAACTCCTTAAGATGCCAAAAAAGAAGAAGGCCTTAAGAGGAAAACCAGCAAAATGTTTAAAATACTGATTTCTTAATTTTGGGTTGGAAAAGTGGGGGGTGTCCTATACATGGAAAAATACAGTACTTATGCTTTAGAGGGGCCACACCAAACTACAGTTTGCTTTCCCCATTTCTAATCAATTTCTTGGGGAGGGTACCCGAAAAAGCGAAAAAAAAAATCATGAAAATTATTCCTCCATCTCTTATGGAACCTGACCCCAATGTAAAAACTGGTGGTAATCCCTAAGAACATGACCTGATTCCTAATTTCCTTCTGACATCTGGGTAATAACAGCGACATTATGAATTGACTCATTCAGGCCACATGAGAAATACTCATCCTTCCCAACGTGACTCAAAGGTGTCCAAGACCAAACAGAGAAGCAATGTCAAGAACGGCCAGTTCTGTACCTTAACTGCAGCCACTTAGGTTCATGGCCACGAGGTCATGTCACCCTGGGGATGACATCAGCGACAAGCAGCGGCCAGACTCACAATGACAGGTCTCTTCTGCTCACATCCTGTTTTTAGGTAGAGCTTTCATCCTTCCCTTTGAATGGGAAAAGCAAACAGCTGTTCCACCACGAGGCTCTGTGCGTTAGGAAAGGGGGAAAAAATTGGACATTTATGTCTGGAACCTATCATATTTTCTAACTACCTGTAGATTTTTCCCAGCTTAATGATAGACAACTGATGGGAACATTTAAGTTCACGGCTGTTCTGGTTGGCTATCTGAACCCTGGGGTGTAGGGTGTGGGAGAAACGCCCCAAATGGTCTCTACTGTCAAAGCTCTGAGCAGAGCACAGACTCACCCTGACCGCCCCACAGCTGGGCTGAGACAGGACAGCACATGAAGCAAGATGTGCCCCGGTACTCTTCCCACCTTTAGGAAGGAAGGCTCCACCGAAGTGCTGACATGCCAGGGCTTGGTCGGGAGAGTGTTGTGCGGGGTGCCTTCACCCTAATATTAAACAGGTAGTGTTAAAAAAAGAAAAAGCCCCATATTAAGAAGCCTTCCGGACCTACTCTGGGTGGAGCGGTAGGGGGCAGGATAGCGTCACCTCGGTGGGCTGCGGGCCTGCGATCCTGCCAGCGCTAACCCAGCACAACCCGGGCAACCGGGACCAGTTGGTCACCAGAGCTGGTTGCCTATAGCAACTGGCGCCTGGAGCTCGTCCCGAGCAGGCGCGACGGGGTCCCCGACTGGGGGCGGATGGGGGATTCCCCGGGGACTCTCGCTGCGTCTTTTCTCCCAGAGGAGCCTCCGCACAGGCCGGGCCTTCCTCCCCGGAGACATCTCCGCCCCCGCTGTCCTCCCAGCTTCCGCCGCGGCAGTCCCGCCCACAGCCTCATCTCTCAGCACCGACCGCGACCGCGACCGCTCCCTTCGCTACAACCCGGTGGCGCAGCTCAGGGGCCCAGGCCCGGGTACGACGCCACCGCCGCAGTACCTGCACCCCGCCCGGCCTCCCCGACGCCAGGCCGCCAGCCAACCGCGGCGGACCCTGAGCGCTTGCGCATTGCGCCCTGTGCCTTGCCCCGCCCCTCGCGCAAGGCCCCGCCCCCTGGAGCCCGCCACGCCCCTTAGCCGACGGCTGTCTTCCCCACGGCCAGTCCAAGTGCTAACAAGCGCTGCCCTTGTCCGCAGAGCAGAGGAGGGTCGCCAGGGGGCGCCGAGGCGCGGGAACCAGCCCCCCGCGGTCGCTTTCCGCAGCCGGCCCTCGCGGGGCGCCTCCTCTAGTCCCCAAGGGCCGCGCTGGGCCGCGGGGACGCCGGAGCGAGGCGCCCTTCGCCCGAGGCCGTTGTCCCCTGGGGCCGCGCCGGGGGTCGGAGGCGCTTGTTTGTGAGTGTGCTCGGCCGGCCGCGGGTTTGAAAAGTGACTCATTTCAGCAGCCTGGCCCACAGGCAGTCAGCCGTGCCCGGGGCTGACGCACAGCCTCCGCACGCGCTCCCTGGCGCCGTCGCCCCTGTACTTTCCCTTCTTTATTTGGTGGCAGCGGCGGCAACAGTGGTGCGCGCGGAAGCGCCGGCCGCAACCGCGACGAGCAGGTGCAGCGCGGCGGGGCGGGCGGCGCGGAGGCGGTGGCCGGGCGCAGTGACGCCTGCGGGTTCCTGTCCCCCCGGGCAGGCGTCCCTCGGTGTCTCGCTGCGGCTGCCAGAGCGAGGCCGGGAGGTGGACGTGGGGGCTGAGGTCGCCCCGTGGCCGTGGGTCGGGCCTCGCGGGTCGCGCAGGGACGAGGAGGAGAGCGCTGCGACCCCAAGGCTCCCTTCAGCCCTGGAAGCGGAGTGCATGGAAGCAGAGGACCCTCCGGCCGCAGCCCCCCTGGCCCCCCGGGACCATCAAACGTTAGGACGTGCTGGGTGGCCAGGCTGGCTAATGCCACTGAGTGCGGACAAACCCGCCCGAATGGGCATCCCGCTCCCCAAACCGCGCTTCCCGCCAGCTCAGCCCGCGCTTCCCCAGGCTGGTCGCCTGCGCTCCATTCAGGTCCTCCTCCCACTTCCTGCCCAGGGAGCCTGTGCCATTGGACTCTCTTCCAAGACCTTCACCTTCAGGGAGGCCCAGCCTTCTCCCGGTCCTCACTGCTTACCTCTCAGCCCTCACCCATGTGTGCTCCACTGTCCGGCCACTCCACAGTAATCTGTTCTTCTGAAGTTCAGGACATGTCACCACACCCCGGCGTTTCTTCATCCAAATCCCTCCTCCCAGTCTCCGGCAAGGAAACATACCCTGCCCAAGGTTAAAAAGGAACGTTTGTAACAAAGTTAGAAGGCTACAGAAAGCAGGAGAGAAAGGCTATAGATAGATATCAAATGACGGATTTAAAAAATGGCTTTACACAGCAATAGGGAAGAGCAAAGAACATAAGTGTAAAATGAGCAAGGACATAAACAGATAATTTGAATGATTCATTAACGTGTTCAATTTTACTAATAATTATACTAAAACAACCATTCGAATGCTTTTTCTTACCTATTAAATTGACAACACTGTTTTGAGATAATGTCAAGCTTACAGAAAAGCAGCAAGAATAGTATAATTACTATATAATCTTCATCCAGATTCCCCAACTGTTAACATTTTACCTCATTTGCTTTCTCTCTCTCTCTCTCTCTCTCTCTCTCTCTCTCTCTCTCGGACTTCCCTTTATTCTTAGAGTTCAGAAGAACTCTGAGATTTTAACGTTTATATGTTGTTTTTTTAAGATGTGTCCTGGTCGGGGCCTTTTCCCCATTCATTTTGTTGCTCACTCAAGTGGGCCCTTCAATCTTGAGACTTATCCTTCCATTCTAAGAATTTTTCTTATATTTGTTTACAATTTCCTTCCCTCCATTTTTTTTTTTTCCTGGATGTGGGGCTTTCCTCTGATTTTCTTATCTTTCATAGTTTCCATATATCATTTTGTACCATTTTCTGAAGTTTTCATCAACTACCTTCTTCCTTTTCTCTTGAACATTTATTTTCAAACTTTGCATTCTCCAATAGCCAGAAGCCCTTTCTTGTTCTGATTGTTTATTTTGCAGCCTTTCTCCTTTCGTGGGTAAGACATCTCCTCTCCGCTCTCTGTGGGTATTAACTATGCTACTTTTAACGTTTTTGTTCTGCTGTTTGCTCTGTTATCCTCCCCCCCCCCCCCCCCCCCCCCCCAAGTTAGAACTTTCCACAAACATCTGGTGATCCTTGGCTGTCTGTCGAGATTTCATCGTGAGGCACAAAAAGCTGGTTGATGGTTCTGTGTGCATGCGAGTGGCGTATCCACTGTGGAGTTTCTGGGAGGTGGCCAGAGAGCCAGCTACTAGTAAATCACTGAGCGGAGAATGAGTACCCAGTGTCTGAACCTGTGACCATCCTGTTTGTTCCAAGGAAGGATTCTTTCCTAACTAACTGCCAGTGCTCTGGGAGCTGGGTGGTGTGAGTAGCCCCACTCATGAGTGTGCAGAGATTCTGCACTTTTAAACCCCCTTTGCACACCCCCTCGACCTTACCTGCCCACAATGACTCTCAAGGGTCACAAGCAACCTGTTTTAACATGAGGAAACATGAGGAGGGTTTCAGTCATGCATCTGCTAGCATGAACTCATATCTGCTAGTTGGCTTTTTCTCTAGCCCTGACCTGATACCAGCTGAATGGAGGAAATGGTAGTCTAATTGGTCAGGAAGTGGGGACAGGTGGGCCATTTGTGGTCAGGAGTCCCCCAGCAGGAGAGCAGCCCACAGAATGGGGAGGGTGCTGTGCTACAGGTGAGGGCACAGGGACCTGAATGCCACGAGGGAGTGGGAAGCTGGAAAAGGAAGCTGACTTACATTTAAATGGTACCCAGAGCCAGGGCTGTAGGTGGACAGCCAGAGTTGACTTGCTCTCTCCCTCCTGTCCTCAAAGGCCCAGCGCCCAGGGACAGTAGGGGCTCAGTGGCGCCAGGCAGTGAACCTGAGAACCGGGCACCCTGGGAAGATGGTTTCCAGGGAAAACACAAGCTCCAAACAAGCACCTTATAAATGCTCTTTTGGACCAGGTCCTGCTTGCAAACTGAGGCTTGATTTGCCTGTAATGGGCCAGCTCCGGTAGTGCCAGGGGAGAGGGGCCATTAGCAGAAATACAAAGCAAGAAGTCATTCAGTCCATTAGGTTAAAAGAGGATTTTTCTATCTTTTATTATTTATGATTTGTGACTTCGGTTGCTGTTTCCCGGAACAGTTACAGTTTTCTTTCAACTCACTGGTGCACATAGATGCTTATCATCCATCACGCTGCAGATGGCTAAGCAGTGGTTCAGGCCTCTGGGGCCGCGGCCTTTTGCAGTTTTCTGCTATCTCGTCAGGCAAGTTGTTTTCTGTGCTGACAGCCTCCCAAAGCTCCCGTCTGGTGCCTGCGTGAGGACCTATATATACACATATGAGTGTCTCTATATTTATCTTGCAAATGCATACAGTAAACTCACAAAATGAGCAAAAGCAGGTCACTCCCCAAAAAACAGGCATGGGGGTCCCCAGAATCCTCCGCAGCATTCAGGACTCCTTGGGTGGGAGCTCAGACTGTTGGCTTGAGGGGAGGGAGAAAGGGCAGGTCAAGCGGCCCCCGTGACCTCTGGGGGTGCCGTGGTCCCCTGGGCGACTTCCCCAGCCACCAGGGAAGCACAGTTCCCAGGCTGAAGCTCCATCTGAAATTTTGAGCTTTTCTCCCATGTTCCCCTTTCTCGGTCTTCACGAAGGCGGGGGCGGGGAGGCCTTAACTGAGACACAGACGAAAGAGGAAGTGTCTCAGCACTAACCAAACGTAGTAGAGAGCCCACTCAGTCAGTGACCTGGATGGAAAAACTGAAGACATCCTCTGCGTCCTCACAGACCTTCTGGGGGCGGGGGCAGCTGCTGCCCAGGAGCACCAAGCTTCCCTCTGGCCAGGTCTTTGCTGGGAGCTGAGAACAGATGGCTGCCCGCTCCAGGCCTTCTGATGTGCCTGAGGCTACACGGGCCTCCTTGCCCCTGTGTGACCCGCCAGGCTTCTTTCTCACAACGTGGAGATGCCCCGGCTGTGTTCAATGCAGGTGCCATCTGAGGGGGCCACCCTAGGACCATGAGCCATGAGCACCCCGCCTCCGATTCACGCTCCAAGTCAGTCAGCAACGCCCACTGAGCACCTGTGGGGTCCAGCTGGTGCTGACTCAGGGACAGGATGGAGGGGATGAAGACACGACAAGAGAGTGGCCGGTGACAGGACCAAGTGTGGTGCAGAGGAAACAGGAAAGAGAGCATCGCCAGAGTTGGCACTTTGACAAAAAAAAACCCCGTTATTTCTTGTGCAATGTAAAATACATTTCTGCTTCCCTGGCCGGTTTGGCTCAGTGGATAGAGCGTTGGCCCGCAGACTGAAGGGTCCTGGGTTCGATTCTGGTCAAGGGCAGGTACTTCAGTTGCAGGCTCAATCCTTGGGTCTGGGGGGTGTGGGTGGCAACCAATCAATGATTCTCTCTTACATTGATGTTTCTCTGTCTCTCCCTGTCCCTTCCACTCTCTCTAAAAATCAAGGGAGTTGAGGATTAACAAAAAAACAAGTTGTTAGCAGTGCAGGTGTACCATCCCTTATCCACATATCCGAACCCCAAAAAACTCCGAAAAAGACATTTCTACTTGAGTCAATGCAATGAAGACTATTAGTAACACAGGCTTATAATAAAAAATCTAGAAGGACAGAAGAGTAGACAAAAGAACAAAATCACTCCTGGTCCTTCTGCCCAGAAATAACCTGTGTGACCAATGGCTGAACTTTTAGATATTGATGTGGGCCCATTTTTTACTTAACTGTGATCATATGGAACCTCAAAAATTGTACATACTGATTTTTCCATGTATTTCATTCCCTTGCCAGAAGGAACACTCTATATGAATGCTCATCCTTAGCAGTTCAGGCAAATGAATCTCATAATAATATACTAGGTAGTCATTTAAAAGACTGATCCCACACTATATTTATTAACATGGAAGGATATCACCAAGATCTCGCTGAATTTTTAAAAAGTTTTCAAAATATATATATAATTTGAGCCTATTTATATCACAACATGGGTGTGTGGGTGTGTAAAGAAGATGTTTGCCAAACAGTCACAATGGCTCTCCCTAGAAGGAGGGTTTTCTGAGCTGTTTACTTTCTTTATATTATACTAGAGGCCCGGTGCACAAAACTCGTGCACAGGTGGGGAGGGTGGTCCCTCAGCCTGGCCTGTGCCCTCTCACAGTCCGGGACCCCTCGAGGGATGTCCGACTGCTGGGGAGCAGGCCTAAGCCAGCAGTGGAACATCCCTCGAGGGGTCCTTAGTGCTGCTGCAGAGGCAGGAGAGGCTTCCGCCACCACTGCTGCACTCACCAGCTGTGAGCCCAGCTTCTGGCTGAGTGGCACTCCCCCTGTGGGAGCACACTGATCACCAGGGGGCAGCTCCTGTGTTGAGTGTCTTCCCCCTGGTGGTCAGTGCACGTCATAGTGACCGGTTGTTCTGCCATTCAGTCGATTTGCATATTAGCCTTTTATTATATAGGGTTTTTAGTATTATTAAAAATTTTTTTTTGCAATGAGCATCTGGTAGTTTTATATTTTTTAAAACTTTATTTAAAATGTTTATTTAAATCTGCCTGACTGGTGTGGCGTGGTGATTGAGCATCAACCTATGAACCAAGAAGTGACGGTTTGATTCCCAGTCAGGGCACATGGTCGAGTTTCCAGGCTAGATCCTTAGTAAGGGATGGTGCAGGAGGCAGCCCATCAGTGATTCTCATCATTGATGTTTCTATCTCTCCCTCTCCCTTTCTCTCTGAAATCAATCAATCAATATATTATATAAAATTTATTTAAAACTATACTATCAGCATAAAATGTATCTATTATATAGTGAGTGAAAATGTGAGTTACCAAACCTATACATAGTATGATACCATTTTGGCATTTTACATTTTTATACACAAATTTACATATATTATATATGAAATTGCAAATACAAAAAATATGTAAATTATAAATGTTAGGTATAGCATTTACATATATGTATTCATAAAATTAGTTTAAAATTTTATCTTTTTTTGAATATATTTTTTATTGATTTCAGAAAGGAAGGGAAAGGGAGAGATAGAAACATCAGTGATGAGAGAGAATCATCGATCGATAGGCTGCCTCCTGCACGCTCAGGCATGTGTTCTTGACCAGAATCAAACCCAGGACCCTTCAGTCCACAGGCCAATGCTCTATCCACTGAGCCAAACCAGCTAGGGCCTGTATTTTTATTTTAAATAACGATTCTGTGTTATATTTTAAAAAATGACACTTCTATTGTGGGGGAGAAACGCCATGTTTGTGGCTGAGTCTTAGAGGAGTACGGACTGGCCAGGACTGGACCGTCCAGTCCGGGCTGAGGGAACAGCACATACCAAAGGCACAAAGTGACAACAAAGCGTGGGACGGTCAGCCGCATCGCCCCTGGCATCTGACACCACAGCGCACTCCCCCTTCTGCAACTTTCCTCTTACCCTCCTGGGTCACATTCTTTCTGGGCTGCTCAGCGGCACCAGTCAGCCAAGCAGGCCTTGGTGTTGTTGGGGCGGGGACTCCGTAGAGATCGCGAGGATTAAATCCACCTTGTTCACAGAGGCTCAGGCTTGGGCACCACAGGAGAGAGAGCAGAATCCATGGTTAATGGACCCAGGTTCAAGTCGAGGCACTACCAACACCCCGCACCCAGCACCCAGCACCCACCCCCCGCCAGTCTCAGACACCACTTTCTTTTTTAATCTTCACCTGAGGACACTCTTTTCCATTGCTTTTTCCTTTTCAGAGAGAGTGGAAGGGGCGGAGGGCGGGAGGGGGGAGGAGAGGGGAAAGGAGAGGGCGAGGGAGGGAGGGGAAGAGGGAGTGAGAAACATCATGTGAGAGAGACACATTGACTGGCTGCCTCCAGCCCCATGCGCTCTGACTGGGGGCGGAGAGCAAACCGCAACCCAGGAAGTGCCCCTGACCAGGAATCAAACCTGGGACCTTTCAGTGCGCGGGCCCAACGCTCTAACCACAGGGCCACATGGGTCAGGGCACCTCCCTAAACCTGAGTCTCTATCCACAAAATGGGACAATAAGAACCTGGTGGGGTTGTTGAGAGGGTTAAGTAAGACTGGGGGAAAGCCCCTTCCAACTAACCATTTACATCAGAAAGAACCTGACCACAGTTATGGCAGCATGGCAAAAGCCCACAGGCAAACACACGGCCCTGACATTTACCAGGTCCATTCTGGCTAAGGAACAGCGCTCACGGCAAGCCCTTGTGATATGTCCTCGTGGTTGGACGTGCCAGTCACAAGTTCTAATTATGGGAATGAATGTTCTCTGACAAAAAGGCCTGTTGAGGTGAGTCACTGCCGTGGTTTAGCTCTCTGGGCCGGGAACTCTCCCTGGAACGAGTGGTTTGGAGAGAGGCACATCCTCCTGCAAAGGAAGCCGAGATGGACCCTGGAGATTGATCATCGTGTTTGCCAGGAGGGTTGCAGTCCTGACAGTCCCCGGCTTCTGAAACAGCAGGTGACAAGTACAGCTTACTCCCGTGCAGCCCCTTCTCTCGAATTTTCTCCTACAGTCTTTCCTTTTATACACACACACCTCTGTTGACTCAGGATCACCTGGGTAAAATGTTCTAAATGGAAACTCAAATAACTTCTGTCTGCTCGTAAAACACAAAGCCGAGAGGTTCTACCTGACGTGGGTGGCTATAAAGTGGTTTCCAAACGGATTAGGCTTTTATTGCCACCCCGGAGAGCAAGCGGGTGTGATGACGTTACTTCCCTTCAAGGGCGAACATTTCTTCCTCCTTGATATTTGGATTTCTTATCTGGAGTCTTCTTGAGCTTGTTTTCTGACTTGTCAAGGTATTTGTTAACGTGTAAAGCTTCCCTAGGCATGGTTTCATACATGGCAGCCAGGGGCACATACATGGAAGGATGTCCCCAAGATCTTGAACTTTTTAAAAAAATGTTTCAAACGGTATAGTATATCACTTGAGCCTACTTACATAAAAACATGCGCATATTTGTGTGTAAAGAAGATGTTTGCCAAAATATTAATTATGGTCAGTAATCATGGCCCTGGCCTGTGTTTCTCAGTGGTTAGAGTGTTGACCAGCACACCCAAGGGTCTTGGGTTCGACTTTCAGTCAAGGGCATGATCAAACCTGGGTTGCAGGTTTGATCCCCAGCCCAAGTCGGGGACCCTGTGGTAGGCAACCAATCGATGTGACTCTCTCAGATTGATGTCTCTCTCTCTCTACCTCCCTTCCTCCAGTCCACTCTCTCTAAAAATCAATGGGAAAAGTATCCTCAGGTGAGGATTAACAAGGACACACACATCATTGTAATCATGGGAAGAAGCCATGGGTTGGAGTCCCAGCTGTGCCACTTACCCGGGTGTGTGGCCTAGGACAGGGCGCTGTGTAAACCTCTCTGAGTGCATTGCTTTATCTCTGAAACCGGATAGAGCACTGTTATGAGGATTACATAAGATGCAGCACGCACCCAAGAAAGGCTACTTGTTATGATTCCGCACTCAGACCTGAAGGAATGGATTCTGCCCTTTGCTGTAGTAGCAACCCAGAAAAACAGAGCAGTCGTTGAAGTAAAACACAGCTCACTGACATCGGGTGTCCCTGGGGGTGATCCAGCACAGAGAGAAGGGGGTAGAAAAGGTGCCAATGCTATTTGATCGTGGCCCTCAGAGGGTTGAATGACCAGCCCACTCACTCCCAGGAAGCATGGGAAGCCAAGTTCTCACACATCTTCCTGGTAAACATGGGGAATTCGTGGGGTGACCCCAATGGCCCCTGTCACTCCAAGGCCTGGTAAGTATCTCCACGGTGACATCAGAGCTGCCCAGACCTGAAAGTGTAGCCAACATGAACTTCACCTCCTGCACCCCACAGATGGAGGGGGCGGGACTAGGTGGTGGTGGGGCGCCAGTACTTCCAATTTCTCTGGCTGTTGGCTCACCCCCTGCAGGACTACATCTCTGTATAATATATATATTATACACACACACACACACACACACACACACACACACACACACACACACTGAGTGGCCAGATTATTATGACCACCCCATCAGTACTTTGTTGGGCCACCTTTTGCCTTCAATACTGTGGCGATTATTCTTGGCATTGACTCCACGAGATGTTGAAAGGTGATGTGAGGAATCTGACACCATGCCTGGTGAATAGCACTGTTCAGTTCTGTGAGATTTGATGGTTGTGGAACCAGCTGCCTGATGGCTCTTTTAACTTCGTCCCACAAATGCTCAATTGGGTTGAGATCTGGTGATTGTGGGGGCCACCTAAGCAAGGTAAAGTCTTCCTCATGTTCTTGAAACCACTCCTGCACAATACGAGCACCGTGGCATGGCGCATTGTCTTGTTGGAAGAAGCCATCTCCATTGGGATACACCATCAACATGATAGGATGAACTTGATCAGCAATGATACTTAGGTATGTTGTGCTATTCAGACGTTTATAATGGTCTGGCCCTCTAGCAACTTCAGCACAAAATTATAGCTAATTTGCCTACAGACATCAGGTGGTCATAATAATCTGGCCACTCAGTGCATACACATACATACACACACACACACATTATTATTATTTTTAAATTTATATTGTTCCCAGTTTTGTAAGGACCATGCCCTCTGTCAGGTCTTCCCCATAAACACAGCCCCCAGAAAAAAAAAAAAAAAAGAGAAAGAAAGAAAATAGCCAAGGTTTGTCTCTGACCCTCCATTTTCTATTGTCGACAAACCCTCTTTCCAACTGGCACATTCTTAAGATATGTTACAAGAGAAGGTTCAAAGTGTTTTTGTAAATATGCTTTTCTTACCTTCTCTAATTCCAGGCAAGTGTTGCTGAAAAACCCATTCTGACTTCTTAAAGTGACTTTACATGTCTTAGTTCTGATCCATGTGTTAGTTTTATACTTTAACTCTCCAAGTAGGGTTGCCAGATACAATACCCGATGCCCAGTTAATGTGAGTTCCAGATAAACAATGAGTACTTTTTTTTGGTATAAGTATGTCCCATGCAATATTCGGGACATACTTACACTAAGAAAGTATTCATTCCCAAATATTGTGTTGGGAGAGGAGTTGAGGGGTTCTCTTGTCCTTCGAGGAACTGGTTTTATCACACCTTGAGTAAGCTGTATTTGCAAACGGCTGCCACCACCCTCTACCTCATTCTTGGGTTCGAGCAAAGGGTGTGAGAAATACGCAGGCATGGCTGGGGGAAGGTGGCCGTGGAAGGAAACGTGACATCTCTTGCTTCGCGGATTAGACGCAGTCCAGACAAGTTGGCCAGGGAGAGAATTTCTGAAAAGTACATCTATTTCCCTAGTTTTCAAAACAAATGAGAGTCTGGGCTCTCAAACCTAATCTGCTAATTTATTATATGGCCTTTAGCCAGCGTATAAGCGAAAAACTCAGATGAGATTCAGTGTTCTCATCTGTAAAATGGGAACGTGGCTCAAACCAGTGCAAAGGAAACCTCCTGATGACAAAGGGGCTAGCAGTGTGGCAGACCCGCTCCGAAGGCCACGTGGTACCTGTGGTTCCAACTGTCCTTTCTCGATAAGACAGAAGCAGGTTAAGCAACTCCCAGGAGCCAGCCGCTCTGAAGGGTGCTGAGGGCAGGACCAACCTCCGTCCCTGGAAGAATCGGTGCCACCTGGAAGGACAGCACATGTGGAGCAGGTTACAGAGGTGGCACACGAAGCCCACACCTCCTAGGAGCCAAGGTTCTCGTCCTTGGATCTGGGCTGCTTACAAGAATAGAGCGTGACGAAGGGAATGTTGTACCAGCTCTGGGCAGTACTGGAGGCACACTCCATGGATTCTGCATTTGCACTTTGGGGAGCCCTGAGCTACCATGTAGCAAGTCAGGCCACGTGGAGAGGCCACATGGAAGGGCCACGTGGAGGTCACGTGGGGGGAGGGGCCCTAAGACTGCGTGGAGGAGAACTGAGGAACTCAGACTTGTGGCCCTGTTGGAGTTGACCCAGCCACTGCCAGACTAAAGAGCCAAACTGGCTGAGACAACTGACGACATCATCGTGACTGTGCCACCCAGCCAGAGAGCAGGCACCCGCTGTGTTGTGTTTAAGTTCTGGGCTGGCAGACTTGTGAGCAAACTGTTTTGCTGTTAAGCCACAAAGTTTGGGGTAATCTGTTATACAGCAATTGCAGGAAACCTCAGACTCACAGGAAAGGCAAAATGCCCATAAAAATGCCCAAATCTGTGCCATCTGGCTGGTCAGGTTCCTCAGGCTCAAAGGAAAGGAAGGTGCCCAGTTCAACCACAGGCAGGAGCACTTGCTCTTGGAGACCAGACAGAAATCCCCTGAGGTCCACAGTTTCTTGGATTCAGTGGGCCTGGGTGACAGGTACCGATGTGTGTGTATGTGTGTGTGGGGGAGTTCTCAGCTCTTGCTCAGAGCACCCCTGGGCTGAGGGACTCACCCCGACTTTGCTCAGCCACAGCTATGCTTCCCCAGAGAGGCCATGGAAGGGAGAGCTATGTTCAGGGGATCAGAGCTGCCTCTACTAGACAGACAGGTGTACCCCACCTTCTAGGCAGTAGCAAAAACCAAGGGAAAGGAGTGGAGGGGGGTACAGGCACCCCAGCCATGGAGCGGGGCCACTGGGGTAGGAGAGGTAGGTGAGAAATGTGGATGCCAGACCAAGGCAGCAGGTGGACCGGGTTGTGATTGAAGGCTGGGCCTGGGTCTGGTTCATCTTGGACCCCCCAGAAGCTAACACATAATAGATGCTCAATAAATATTTGCTGCCTGGCCGGCGTAGCTCAGTGGTTGAGTGTTGACTTATGAACCAGGAGGTCAGGGTTCAACTCCCGGTCAGGGCACCTGCCTATGTTGCAAGCTCCATCCCCAGTGGAGGGTGTGCAGGAGGCAGTCGATCAATGATTCTCTCTCATCATTTGTGTTTCTTTCTCTCCCTCTCCCTTCCTCTCTGAAATAAATTTAAAAATATTTTTAAAAACAATAAATAAATATTTGCTGAATGGATAGACTTCGCTTCTATGTCAAGGGGAGACCCAAGTGAATGAGGTGAAACAGATGCTGGGGTGACTGGCCGAAGGGGAGACTGGGCAGAGAGAGCCTGTGAGGCTTCTGCAGGGTCCCCAGGAGAAGAGACAAGGGCAAGGCCAAGGAGGTTGGCAGCAGAGACAGAGATAAGGGGTGGGGGTAGCCATGGCAGGAGTGGATCTCAGGGCCCTGAGCTCTAGTCCTTAAATCGCCCTGTGACATGGAAAAGTCACCGTCGCTTTTGGGTTTAGCTCTGTCTCTGAGTCAAAGGTGCTAGAGGAGAGGTTTCCCCTTTGCGCGGAGACTTTGTGACCCTGAGGTTGGGTGTCTGCTCTAAAGCATGGGTGGGGTGGTGTCGGGGAAGCAGAGGAACTGGGAAGGGTCAAAGACAGTTCTGAGGAGGGTTACGGAAAAAATGATGCGACTGTGGCCAAAAATAGGAAGTCAGAAGGGAGAGCTGGGCCGGGTGGGAAAGATGACGTGTTCGCAGTTAGGGAAGTTTAGAGGGGGCCAGAGACATCTCCAGAGCAGATGGACACACAACCACAGCCACCTGGAACAGTCCTCTATGCCCTCCTGCCTCAACAAAAAACAAAAAACACATCCAGGGCCCTGGCTGGTTTAGCACAGTGGATAGAGCGTTGGTCTGCGGACTGGGGGGTCCTGGGTTTGATTCTGGTCAGGGGCCAATGCCCGATCCCCAGTGGAGGGCATGCAGGAGGGAGATGATCAATGATTCTCTCTCATCACTGTTTCTATCTCTCTCTCCCTCTCCCTTCCCCTCTGAAATCTATAAAAATATATTAAAACACACACACACACACACATACACACACACACACAGGTCCTAATCCTTGGAACCTATGGTTGTTCCATTATGTGGCAAAAAGTTCTTGGCAGGTGTGATTAAACTAAGGTCTTAAAACGGAGAGATGATCCTGAATTATCAGGGTGCCCTGAATGCCATCATGTGTATCCTTATGAGAGGGAGGCAAGGGGAGATTTGACACACAGAGGAGAAGGCGATGTGAGGACAGAGCAGAGAGATGTGAATGCTGAGTGGTGTGCCCACAAGCCAAGGAATGCTGGCAGCCCCAAAGCTGGAGGAAGCAAAAAACAGATTCTGGAGCTGCCAGAGGGATGGCAGCCAAGCAATATTGTTTATAGACATCTGGCCTCCAGAACTATGAGAGGAAAGATTTTAGTTGTTTCAAGCCACTGAGGATTTGTGGTAATTTAATTTATTACAGGTATATCTGAGGAGCAAATTAAGCAGCCCATCCATAGACCGACTGGAGGCCTATGGGGGCTCTTATCCCATGGGACAGGCTTTAGATGAATCAGGCTAGTTCCCAGTAGTGAACGGGAGAGTGTGCAGAGGATGAACGCAGTCAGAGGTAGAGAGAGAGACAGAGAGAGATGAGAAGCTCTCTCGGCTGGGCTTGCATATCCTCACCCCCATCCCGCAGGAAGCTGCGGTGAATCTCCATCCTTCACCCGGACGCGGATCGCCTACAAAGCAGAGGCAAACTTGCACGATGAGCGTGTTTTCTCCTCTGCCCTTTTGCTTTGCATCTTTGCGGTCAGGTGTCTACATTTTCAATTCTCATTTACTTCTAAATGTCTTCTGAATTCATTTTGCTGCCTGTCACCAGCGAATCCACCTTGGGTAAGTCCGATTTGCAAGGGAGTTCCCTCTCCTGAGACAGGTCCCAGGAAGGGGCCTCACTGGACCAGCTTCAGGCCGAGACCGCACCTGTTCCAGTTCCATGAGCTAAGGGCCAACACGCGATGGAGGTTGGGACCGGGCAACCTGGGACCCACGTTCTTTGCCAACCTTGCCCACTGAGGAATATTTAGCTTTTGGGTGAGCACAATGCTAACTTAAAACAAAACAAAATAAAAAACTCCCACCTATTCTGTGTTTTCCCGTAGTAAAAACAGAGTAGAGCTGAACTCTGTTGGCCATTGGTCATTAATTTAATAATGATTTGCCCCTGCGGTACTCAGCCCATCACATGATTGGGGTGCACATGTATTTTTCTTAAAGATCCTATTCATTTAAGGCTGAACATGTCCAACTGTATGCTCTCCCTCCAGCCACCAATATCAACACAACATCTTTCTCAGGGGGCTTCTAGCTTAAGTGTCACCTCCGGATAGTGAGGGTGATATTATAGCCCGAGAATTTCAAAAATTGGTTTGTGTTTCTTTTGGGGGTGGGAATTGTGAGGTTTAAAAACAAAGGAAGCAAAGAGGAGGATGAGAGGGAAGAAGGAAGACAAAGAAAGCAAAGGGGGTGCGAAAGAATAAAATAAAAATAACATTAGACCCAAATCCTATCCCGTGCCAGGCATTGTAGCAGTTCTGCATTTAATGTTTAATAAAAAACTTACTCCATAGGTATTATGGATGAGGCAATCAATGCCCAGAAAGGCTAAGTCATTTGCCCAAAGCCACACAGCTTAGTAAGTAGAGAAGCCTGGTTTTCACTCCAAGTTCATCTTACTTGAAACTCACGTTCTTATTTATCAACCACGGAAACATCTTGTAGTCATTCCTTGAAGAACCTTGCAACATAAAAGAAAAAAGCAGCACAGTAATCCTCTAGAAAAGTAATAATGTAAAGTTGAAAGTGTGGGTGAAAAAAATGTACGGAGTTATGTCTTATGCTGGGATTAGCAGTTTGGGCCTCTTGTACTGCTGAGCAAAGAGGCTATTCAATAAATGGATCACACAAAGGCTGGCGAAAAAGTGCAGCCCCCGGGGCTTCCGGAGGCGAGGACTGTGGCTGAGTTGAAAGCATCCTGATGCGGTGGATCTGCCACAACTCCGCTCCGCATGCCTCCTGGTGTGCACCCCACTCCAGCAGAGGCTTTAAAGCTGTTTTCACATTTACGCCACCACCTCAATGAGGTTATTATTTTTTTTTCTAACTATGAAAAATGTCACACGTACATTTTGAAAGAATAGCATAATGAACAACTAATATTTTCCCATTTGCTTTATCGGTCTCTGCCTATCTCTCAGGGAGAGTTCTTGCTGCTCCCCCCACTCGTAAGCTCCACCATGCCCCAGTGCCTTTGCACATGCTGTACCCTTTGCCTAGAACAACCAATGCTGTATTCATCTTCTATCACAGCCTTCCATATTTTTGTTGTCCCTATTGAAGAGTGAACTGTTTCCCCTCTTTACTTCTAGTGCCTTTTCTATGCATTTCTATCTATCAGGCATGCAGCCTCATGTCCAGGTCTATTTAAGTCATCTTCAAAGGCCCAGCCCAAATGCCTTTTCGTCCACAAAAGTGTTTCTGATTCTGTCTGGATGGAGGTAATTGCCTTTCTCTGAAGGTCCACAGCACTCTAGCTTGTGCTCCTGAGTGGCATTTATTACTGTATGTCTTGGTTTAAGACAGATGCACCTATAACTTCTCCCCGACTAGATTTGTGAGCATGTTAAATTCAATTCCGTAACCGGATCATTTTCTTATCACCAGTCTCTAGCCCGTAGGTGACATAGCTGACATTTCATAACTTCGGTTACATTCTAAAAATATTTTTTTTGAGCACATACAGGTATCTAGCAAGCTACTAGATTTTGGGCATGGAGAGGTTAATGAGACACACACAGTGACCTCTGCCTCGGAAGCTTATGGACTGCTCTTTAGGTCAGAGTGGGAAACAAGTAATTGCACATGTATGACTGAGGCACCAGGCGAACCAGATGAGCAGCTTTCAAGCAAGCACAGAGAGGCTTATACACTGCCGGTCCAATGCAGGGCTGCTCTTTTGCTTTTAAAATGCTGATTGATTTGTTTTCTTAATATAAAAATAACAGATGTGCTTCGTAAAAAATTTAAAAAACGGAAAAATGTAAAGAAGACAAAATGTCTTGTGATTGCTATCACTCCTTAAAACCAAGAAGTTAACATTTTGGTGTGTATTTTCAATCTTTCTTTGCAAACTTGTGTGGGGTGAGTGAAGGTTCACATTCTTGCATTATTGTTTTTAGAACTCATATACTATAAAATTAACTTAAAAGGTGCGACTCAGGGGCTTTTAGTGTAGTCAGAGTTAGCAACCATCACTACAATCTAACTTGAAAATGCTATCATCATTCCCCCAAGTGCCCATCCCTGTCAGCACGCACTCCCCATCTCCTCTACCACCAGCCTCAGGCAGCCACAAACCTGTGTTCTGCCTGCTCTGAACATTTCACACAAATGGAATCATATACTTGTAAAGATGAAGCCCTTTTGTGTCTGGCTTCTTTCACTCAGCACAATGTTTTGAGGGTTTCTCGATATTGTAGCATGA